TGTTAACATGTCTGTACACATGTGTGTGCGTCTAGGTGTGTGTGTGTGTGTTTAGCTGACCTTGGTCGCCCCGCTCCCTCTGGGGGGAACTGATGTTTCTCACTCTGCTTGTCAACAAGATTAGTTCCCCTGTGGGACCGTTACACACCCTGCAAACACGCTGCCAATGAGAAGACGTGTGCGATAGCTCGGCCCTTCCGCGAACCCACTGAAGTGTGTGTGTGTGTGTGTGTGTGTGAGGGTTGTTCTGTGCAAGTGTGTGTGCATGTGCTGCGATTGAGGGGTTAAGGGAGTCAGAGAGGATGTGTGTTCTAGAGCAGAAACAGAAGGGAGAAACAGCAGGGGGATCAACGCAGCCAGCCTGAACTGTAGCCCGTGTGCGTGTATGCATGTGTGATATGTGTGTATGCATGTGTGTGCGTCTGTGCCTGGTTTCTGAGAGAGCCCATGCTGAGCTCTGAGCTGTGCTTACTCCTAGACCTGGCTCATCTGCATCCGTCTCCTGCACTCGCTCCCTCTCTTTTTTTGCCCACTCTTACCCGCCTCGCTCGTCCTCTCTGTCTCTCTCCCACTGTCTTTTTGTAGCACATTCCTGTCTGGCTGCCTGTTGGAGTCCAGCTGTGAACAAGGCAAACAGAGAGGATAGCAGGCCGTTAATGTATTCCAGGTAGCTCATTGCTGTCACTGTATGCTCCTCATCTGTGGGGGCGGAGCTTATTTTCCTTATCCCTTATACCTGTAATATCCACCATGTATAGTTACAATACATCTATACAAACAGAAGGTCACATAACTACATAGAGGTCTTACTTGTAGTGTTGAACCCACAGAGAATCATCACCCAACTTTACAGTTCTCCTCAGCTCTATGGTGCTTTTTAGCATCTTTCAGCTCATTGTTTTGGTTCTGCAGCCATTATCGTTGGTTTGATTCAGTCTCTCTCACCAACTTCATTTCTAAGTTGTTGTTTTCAGCAAAAAGCTCTGATGATATGCAGGCTGTGTGCTACCTGTGTCAAAAGTTGAGTGATTGTTGAGCTTAAATTTAGTGCCCTGTAGCACAACTCTAATGATGCTCTGTGTCTGCTGGACGTCTAAATAGGCAACTGTTTGCAAACACATTTGCCATAGCATCTTTATGAAGATATAATATGTCAATGTTGTGGTTATAGCTTGTTCTACGGCCCCCAAGTGGCCAAAAAACCAATTAATGCCGATTTAAGTAACTTCATTTCTGGAAATGTGCAAATTAGAAACCTGGTCTCCCCAGCTGGGTTTCTCCTGGAGAAAGCTGTTTTCTTGGCATTATATACACATAACCGGGTTTCTTATCAGATTTTTGACATGAACAATACTTCAGGCTGCAGAGCTACTGTTGAGGATGACAGAAAAGTGTGGGATCCTTGTATTCAAATTAACTTTTATTTGTAGTTAAACTATAACTGACATTAAGCAGCCTCTATATGACTAAAGTAGTTTAGTTCCACAGCTGAACCTTTGTCTATTTGTCAAAGTTAGATAGGATATTCATCAAGAAATAGCCCCAACACATAAGCACAAATAAAATTACAAACAGTTGTTTTTACTTTTCAGTTCATGTATGTGTAAAACAAACACAATACACCGCGTAAATGAGACAGCTTACAAGGCTTTGGAAGGCATACTTTTTACTCCGGAGAGTGTTTCCCCACCCCTCCAGTATTTATGCTAAGCTAGGCTAACCACATCCTGAGAGACAAGAGACTAATACAGTATTGATCTCCTCAGTGTCACTGTCAGAAGGAAAGCCAATTAGTGCATTTGCCAAGATGTTGAACAATTCGTTTAATATAGGGGAGGTCTGTGGAGCTGCGGATGTAAAATGAAGATGATGAATGCATAAATAAATTATCCTCATAAGGTTTTATGGTCAATATCGTGCAGCTGTAGTTTGCTGTCTAATTTGAGTGTGAGGTGAGGGAATAGCAGCCCTCAGCAGCTGCTTCGAAGACCTATCCAGACACTTTTTGCAGTCTAGCTGGGCACACACACATATATACACACACACACACACGCTCAGTGTAGATCAGCCCTCAGTCACGGCCCTGTGCTGCAGGGAGGTTGGAGTGATGGAAGCAATAGTTAAGCCATTAAGGCAAACAATTGGCTCAAATTGAGAGGGAGAGAGAGAAAAGAAGAGGAAGAAGAGGGAAAGAGGGAGGGAGATGGAGAGGCCATGACAGGAGTGGATCCACTCAACGACTTAATCCGAGCCCCAGGACACTCTCCTGCTGAGCTTCACACACTTGCACAAACATCTACACACGCACACGCTAAAGCTCTGTCTGCTTGCAATAACACCTTGTCAGTCTTGGCCACAGGGGCGATGGAAGAGGCGCTCATTCCTTTGTAGTGAGGAGAGTCACCTACTTCCAACCACCTCGGGGAAAGACCGAGCATGCAATCTACACAAGGCAGTTCTGTAAGCGTTTGTACGCCTTATGGCTGCAAGTGTAAGGCTATTCATTGTCTTAGCAGGCGGAGTGAATGGTGGAGGGAGCACAGGGCGGACAGTGTCCTAGACGAGGGAGGCGCTTCTCTGACACCGGCTATTGTATCGTCTCCTCCGTGGACTCGTTCAGTCCCCACAGGCCTCACATAAACAGCCAACAATGAGGGATTGTGTCCAGCTATTCTTTGTCACACACACATCAGTTTTACGTGTGTGTGTGTGTGTGTGTATGAGAGAGGGCGAAGGGATGATGTGCTGCAGTCCTGAACCCAGCGACCGCCGAGGCTCGTCCGATGCAGTCGTCTTGCCGTTTATGTGCCTAATCATCAGCCAGTGATAGGGGCAGTAACTCCTCGCCACCGCTGCTGCCCTTTCCTTCCCTTCCTCCCTTCTTTCCCCCCCATCAGCAGCCACCCTTGGGGCTCCCTCAGCGCCGAGGCCCCCGCGATTTATCGGACAGCTTAGTGAGGAGCCGCTGCTGCCGCGAGGACTGTTAGCACCGGTTTGGCTCGTTGACTCCTTCTCCGGTTCTGGCGTTTTACTTGACATGTCCTTTAAGTCCTTTAAAGAATTGGGCGTTTCCGCTGAGCGCCTTGGCTCTTTCTGCAAAAGATGGATGGCCCGCGTTCAAAGGTCTGGATGTTTTTTCCCTCCCTCCCCGTCTCTCTATATCTCTTTTTCCCCTCCCTCCCTCCCTCCCTCCCTCTTTCCCTCTTTCTCTCTTTCTCTCTTGCTGAGCTTTATAGGGTGGCATTAGTGTTGTCAGCTAACCAAGCTTGGGATTTGGCTTTGTTTTGTTTTTGCCTCTTAAGATAATGCTTTTTCTCTCTCCTGCCGAGAATAACAAAAGGGAAAGTAGAGCAATAAAACAGCACAGCCATTGACTTTGGTTTCATTAAATTGGTTTTCAGCCATCTTAAATAGACCACAGGCCTTGATGGCAGTGATGTGTGTGTGTGTGTGTGTGTGTGTAAGTGTATGTTGTGGCCATTTGCGTATTGTCTTCAAAAACACAGCCACACTTTGCCTCGTGCGTCCTCGGGTGGCATTCTCATCTCTGTAGGGCCTCGCCGTTGAAAGCCTTTACTCGCCTTTATTCGTCCGGAAAAAAAAGACGCCGTAGCTGGAGTTAGCATTCCAAACACGTGGACAGACGAGTGTGTTTTGTGAAGATAAGTGTTGTAGCTCCGCAATGAGAAAGGGTGAAAGCACTTCACCCCCATTTCATATGCATTCCAGATGTGGAAATATAACCAGACCTATCGGCGTGTAAGCATCTGTGTCCTGTTAGAGGGCCTGGAGGTTTACTGTACTGGTTCTGCAGCCTAATCCCTCACACACAACCTCACATTAACACGCTGCATGCTGCTTATCCAGCGCTCATTCATGCATGCAAGCATGCACAAACATTCGCGCATGCAGAGCTGGGGGACAGTGCGCCAACATACATTTATAAAGTGTCTACAGCTCGTCCAGCAGCAGATGTCAGGTCAACAAGTACAGTGGAAAAAGCAGATATACTTTATATGTTGTCTGTGTTCAGCTCAGTCCTACAGTGTGGATTTACTGGCATCCTGAATAGATCCGCTGCTTCATCTTTACTATCTAACATCCACAGTTAGGGTCAGCGTGATGTGTCAGTCTGCTGATGTGTCGGGTCAGAATATATAAAAACTGCAAGCTTCAGGGATCTCAGTCTGTAAAACCTGTATTGAAAGCTGCCTCTTTCTGTTGTGAGGAGCTGCCGAGGCGCCCCAGAGAATTTTATTAGTGTGGCTCACTGCGATTCAGTGTCCTTTTGATGGTCTGAAGGCTGTTTTAGGGCCCACTGTGTTGAAAATAAAATTCTGGGTTTTGTACTTCTTTTTTGTCTTTTGTATTTTTGAATTTTTGCGTTTCTTTTTTCTTTTGGATATGGTCCCGTTCTTAGGGGAATGCTTTTTCCAATATGGTTGAAATTACCTCACAGTCTGTAATTGTGTTTAAAAAAAGATTTTATGTACTTTTTTTGTACGTTTTATTCTGTCTTGTGAGTATTGCTTTCTATTATTTTGGCAGAGGTGATGACCCATTTTTTTCCCTTTCACTGCACACTAAACTTGTCCCCCTCCAGTGAAAACCATGTACCTGCCTCCCAATTGTGGGATTTCGGACATTTTTCCAGATTACACCCCTCGAAAGTGTTCTCCTAACGCCTGGGGCTTAGAAAATACTTTTTCACAAAGCTGGAAACCAAAGCTGTTTTGTTTCTGGAAAGCTTACATTGTGGAGGTTTTCACAGCACAGAAACACGATATTTGATTACTTTACTTTCTATGTCCTTTGAGTTTTATTTACTTGCACAAGGTAAAATCAACAAACTTTTTAAGGTGCCTTAAAAACCTTGTGTAGAGGCAAAGCACGTAGCACCAGATAACGAATGCTGGGACCACGAGTCTCATGCTATTGGTGTCACTGATATAAAATGGTGTATTTCTAAGCTCTAATGTTCCGCCCTCTCTCTCCAACAGTAACGGCACGGCCGGGAAGATGAACGGGGCGTTGGAGCATTCGGACCAGCCAGACCCGGATGCCATCAAGATGTTTGTGGGCCAGATCCCGCGCTCCTGGTCAGAGAAGGAGCTGAAGGAGCTGTTTGAGCCGTACGGAGCCGTCTACCAGATCAACATACTCCGAGACCGCAGCCAGAACCCTCCACAGAGCAAAGGTACAGTGGCACAGGACACACTTTCATACTGTCCCGTCCTCTGTTTTTTTCCTCCCTTCTTGAAATTTGCATTTGTTATTTTCTTCTTCCTTTCCTTCCTTTTCCTGCTTGCTTTCTTCTTTCTGCAAGACAGTTTCATTTCCTTCACTTCCTTTCTTCTTGCCAGTTTTCTTTCCTTCCGTTCTCTCTTCATTTAAATAAATATTTTTTCTTTTTTCTTTCTTTCCTTGTATTAATATTTGTTTCCTATATTCCTTCTTTCCTTTCTTGTGTCTGAAAATGAAAATAAAATGTATGAAAATCTTCACCTTTAACGCAGGACTTCAATTTGTAATGGGATATTTTTCCACTTTATTGTTGCTCTCTAAACTTAAGTAAAATGATTTGAATGGGCACATATACACAAATAGACACTCGTGCAAATATATACAGACAGACAGACATGAATACATAATACACTTCCATGAACCCGGATCCACATAAAGAAACACATTCTGTACACACACACAGAGACACACACAGCAGTCAGTGGCTGAGTGGGCCGTCCCACATAGTTAATGGCAGAACAAATGATATATGTGCAAAATTACACAAGCAAACACACATTTCGTGCATCATTGGAAGACAAAGACTCTCCCAGCCAGACTTACACAGTCAATTGTGCGAAACCGCATGATTTGCAGCTATTTTCTCCCATTCCCTTTCTTTTTCCTTTGATGAATTCGTCAAGTGTGAGAGCAAACAATAGAGACAGCAGCAACGAACGGGCAGACAATAGCACTGCCATATTAACAGGCATCAACCGGAGTGGGGGCTGATGACACTCCTGATGAGACATGGAGAGTGGGAGGAAAGTAAAGAGAGGACGTCAGGAGGGGAGATGTGGCGCTTCAATCCAACTGTAAAGCACATTTCAAGAGAAGTTTCAAAGTGTCACACGGAACAAAATATGAATCAGTGGGGATGAAGCAAATAAAGCAAGTAAGCACTCATCTGCCAGAAGAATGGAGCTGAATTAAGGATTTATCATTTTTGTGCAAGAGGATCTTCATCATACATGTCTGGAAACACCCGACGATGTCTTAACGTTGCAACGAGCGGTCATAAATCTACCTCATGTTCTACAAAATACATTTAAATACTGCAGATTTGTTTTGTCAGATTTGTTTTGGGAGGAAATATAATTGCTCCCTGGGTTACATTTGCTGGCAAGGTTTTTCCAATTCAGGAATATCCAATACAGTTTTATACCGCACATATATCATAAGATGGATGAAGGATTGGCCAAAGCTCAGGTCTTTGACACCATAGACCAGGGTTCATGTTGCACATGTTGTTTGGTTTAGGCTAGCTAAGGTTAAGGTCAGAAAAGGATTGGGGTTCTCATTTAATGTTGAAAAAGTCAACGCATTCCATCTTGTGATTCAAATGTTATACTTTTTCAGTATTTAACCGAGACCACCATCTTTCCCTAAACTCAACCAAGCGTTCTTAGTGGCCTAAAAATTGCCAGAAATTAGGTTGACTACTTTTACAGTTAAAATGTTGTTATGTTGGGTATGAATGTTTGCGTTGGCTGGAAACAGCACGTTCCATGCAAACAATGTCTGATTTCTAACCACGGAAAGTGGGCAAGTGCCCAACATTCAGATCCCAATTGGCCCCTTTTGCATGTCATCTGGCTTTTGTCATCATGACAAATGGAACACATTAGTTATTGTTCACTAATCTTGTCTATCAAAATCTAGTTTTTAAGACTTTTATTTTTTAGAAAACCAGTTAGTTCCAGCATTGGAAAACAGGCTGGTCTCTGGGTCATGTGGGCTGCCATACAATGGAGCTGCCATGTAATGCTCTGCTGTGGGCATTCAGAGCTTGCGAGTTCAATGTGCACGGGGTGAGGGGTCAATAGGGGCTCAATGGCAAATTGTAGTTGGAGGGCCCCCAAACTGGTTGATCTGGCCTTGGTGCAAACTGATTAATTTACATGAATGTAGTCTATAGGCTGCACACTAGCAATGGGTGATTTGGTAGAAACATGTACGATTTTTATTTTCACTTTCTTCTCTTTTGCTATTACATGGAGCCAACCTCCCTGTCATATTTATTTACAGAATTTGCTTTTTGCTATTATTTTTTAATGATTTCCTTTTTTTTTTTTAAACTTGCATTCCTCAGGGGGGTGTAAAAGCTTTTTGGAGACAGTCGGAGAAGCAGATGTCACAAATTCTAAATTAACACGTGCTATTGAGATCATGTTTCGAAATTGAATGGAATTTTCAGCGGCTAAAAGGTGTGCTGTCCTTCACCTTTCTGCACCCAAAGTCTGAGTCTCACATCTCAGTCTGCTTCTGTTCTTAACTTTCTTTCTCTGTGTGTACCACCTGAGCTTATGAAAGCCTGAAGACAGCGTTCCACCAAGACCCAAATCAACTCACTTTTGCACACCAACACACTTGTCATGCGCTTTGTGTTTGTGTGTTCTTAGCCTGGAGATGACTCCTTCTCTCCCCACCAATCTCTTCTCCCTCCTCTTATTCGTTCTCTGCTGCGTCTGAGGAGGGAGAAAAAAAGGGCCAGAGTTCCTCCTCCTATCCTTCAGCTCCCTCAAATCTCCTGCTTCATCTTCACTACCCTTGAAATGAGTTGTTTTTATGGTTGATGAGTCAAGAGTGTCACTTACCAGCACTTCTACAGGGGGAAAGAACACCTACCATGCCTTTTATTTATTTTTTCTCTGAATGGCAATCTCTCGCTCTATATTCCTCATTTTTGTGGTCGCTCTTTCTGTGCTGCGAGGTGGAGTGTTTTAAGAGGAAATGTAGCATTTGATTGGGCTCTTACTGGCCTTGTTATTCGCAGGCTTTGAGCACTGTTGTTGTTTTCTCATAGTTAAGTAAGCCGCCTGGCCTCATCTGCACCCGCTCAACTCAGAGGAGTTGCAATGGCCCCCTTGCCGGCTTCACTGTTGCGCCAGAGCCGATGGTAATTTCACCGGTGTCAGGGAAACTGTGGCCTCTCTCTTCCCTCAGTGTGTTTATTTTAAATTAGCGAGGGTGTTGTTTGAAAAGGATCTCAGCCATTTGGGGCAAATGAGCCCACTCCGATGCCCCAGTGGCGACCCAGAGGCACTTTTTCCTTTTTCGTAAAATAGCAGTTTGGATTTAAATTAGTTTGTTAGTCCCACTGAGACGCAGACAAAGTTACAACTACAAGCCTTTACAACTCCAACAACTTCTCTGTTTCCTCCTTTTGGTTTTGTGTGGAGCCTCATTAGCTGACACTTCAGCAACTGCTAGTTCAAAAAAGAACATCAACAGCAAAAAGATAAAAAAACAGCACAACATGGCAAATATTGATTGACAGCAGATATTTGGCAAGTACAAGATAGGATTCTAAATGAAATGTTCAACTAGGATATAAAGACCTGGAACACTTAGACTGAGCCTTGTTAAATCCAGATTTGTTAGTCTGCGTTTCTTCAC